ATCTCGATAGGTCCCAGAGACAGTCACTGGTCAAACAAGAGGCAACAACTCTCCCTTAAAGGAATCTAGAGGGAGAGGTAGGCCTCGAAAGGCCATACCCGTCGTGTAATGGACGGTTGGGCCGATAAACCCAAACGGTAACCGACAAGGGCTAGGACGTTCCCGCAAGGAATAGCGAGGGAACGCATAACTCGGTGGGATGCGGCATTTGATAGGGTTTTTCTTCGCGCAGGGAGTTTCTTCCAAGATTTTTTTTGTTTTGGATGTTAAAGATGGTCCGGAGAATCTTCGTGAAGGAAGAGACCTTCGAGGTGGTCACACAGATGTTGTTAGATCTGCAGCTGGGCTCTGATGCGACGCAGTTAATAGAAGATCTGCGGCGCTTCGTCAAGGTCCAGTTGGAGGGGACCACCCGAAGGGGGCGCCACAACGCATCGGTGACGGACATTCTCCGGGACGCATCGCGGGTCGCCCCGAAGAAGGCTTCCAGGAACGCTTCGACTCTCAGAGAAGTCTCAGAACAGAACTCTCAGTGCTGACTCTCAAGTCCGGCGTACCCCAGACGTCGGACAGTGCGAGTCAGTGCCCAGAACCCAGGGAAACCTGTGGGGCATAGCACGGGATCTGCAACCACCCCCGTCTCCCGGAGCAGTACTCTCTTTCTCGACTTCATACACGTACATCTGGGGATAAACGAGGTGGAGGATCTCCAGTCTCAGGTGCAGGAGCACCTGAGATGCTTTCTGAACCGCCAGGGCGCAGAAGAGCTACTCGGGACGTGGGCAGAGGTGGTTCAATGCCAGAGGGCCTATGGAGAGGCTCTGCTTCGGGTAGAACAACGAAATGAGTCTCCCGCAGCGCTCCCGGCGCCGGATCAGGAGAAAAGAGCCCCAGGAGCTACTGGCGCTGGGCCGATGCTCACGGTCCATGTGGACGAGCGTGTGGCTTCTGACACCACAATCGTGGTCAGATGGACGTGTAACCGCCACGGTGGGAGGCGTCACCATCGCCGCCTCCCAGGGAGTCAGCGCCCAGCAGTCCCTTCGGTCCGCTGAGCAGGTCACACAAGATCGGAAGGCTGCTATATACGAGGTGTGTTCAAAAAGTAAGGTGACTTTTGATATTTTACGGGCAACGTATTTTCGATTATCGATTTTTTTGTTTTGTTATGTTGGTACACTCTTCCCGAACATCTGTACCAAGTTTCAAGTGTATAGCATTTTTTGTTTGGTTGTGAGAGGCGTAAAGGTTATAAGTGTTTTGCGTGCTCGGCGATTTCTTGCTATCGAAAAATATGGATCAAAGGATTTGCATCAAATTTTGTGTATAAAATAAAATAAAGTGCTCCGAAACACTTGAAATGTTGACGGTGGCATACGGTGAAACTGTTCTGAGTAAAAAAAATATTTACAAGTGGTACAAATTCTTCCAAGATGGCCGGGAAGATGCCAATGACGAGCCTTGCTCTGGACGCCCAAGCACGTCAACAACTGATGAAAACGTTCAAGCAGTGAAGAAAATTGTTCTGGAAAATTGTCGAATCACTATCAGAGAAGTTGCTGAGGATGTTGGTATATCGCTTAGCTCGTGCCATGAAATTTTTTCTAACGTTTTGGGCATGAGACGTGTATCAGCGAAGTTTGTTCCGAAATTGCTAAATTTTGACCAAAAGAACCGTCGCATGAGCATCGCTCAAGAACTGTTGAATGACGTCAACGACGACCCAGATTTACTCAAAAGGGTCATAACTGGTGACGAATCATGGGTATATGGTTATGATATCGAAACCAAAGTCCAATCGTCCCAATGGAAGAGCCCAGATGAGCCAAGACCGAAAAAAGCACACCAAGTTCGATCAAATGTCAAAGTTTTGCTCACTGTTTTCTTCGATTACCATGGCGTGGTGCATCAGGAGTTCTTACCATATGAACGTACGGTCAATAAACAGTATTATCTTGAAGTTATGCGCCGTTTGCGAGAAGCAATACGAAGAAAACGCCCAGAATTGTGGAAAAACCATTCATGGCTTTTGCATCACGATAATGCCCCTGCTTACTCATCTTTGCTTGTGAGAGATTTTTTGGCCAAAAACAACACCACAATCATGCCTCAGCCACCATATTCACCGGATTTGGCCCCATGTGACTTTTCCTTGTTCCTAAAACTAAAGAGACCTATGAAAGGACGGAGATTTGCAACGATTGAAGAGATAAAGACTGCATCGCTGAAAGAGCTCAAGGTTATACCGAAAAGTGCTTATGAGAAGTGTTTTGAGGATTGGAAAAACCATTGGCATAAGTGTATTGTATCTGAAGGGGATTACTTTGAAGGGGACAACATAAATATTGATAAATAAATAAATATTTTTTCTTAAAAATACAAAGTCACCTTACATTTTGAACACACCTCGTATGCAGGGAGCCCGAGGAGACCAATTCCCAGCGGTGCCCGAAGAAAGCTACACACTGGTGCTATTGGAGAGTGAGGTAGCACAGCTGATCAAGTGAAGGAGCATCGACAGTTGATTTCCTTCATCAACAATTACGGCTGATCACCGTAATTGCACCGCAGAATAAGTGCACCTCCCTTTATTGTTGTGTGACAAAATACGTTCGAAAGTATTTTGTCAATTGCGATCTTAAATTTTGTATTCGCGCCGAGCGTTAGTTTTTGCGGAAATTGTCAAATTCTCTCTCTCTCTCTCTCTCTCTCTCTCTCACTTAATTATAAGTTATAATTGTAAATCCTATCGCGTGCGTTAGTCTTTCGGCCCATAAAAGACTGTAGTTTTTATTGATTAAACTTAGTTAATTTTATTTGCCGATTACGTCATTTCATTTCCTATTAGCTTAAGCGATTTATAAAGGCTTAGGTTTTAATCCGATTTCATCTAGAGGATTAAACGGATCAGGCATAAAATCAGTCACACCTAAAATAGATCGAGAGTCACAAGTCAAGTGAGTTAAGGTGAGTTCAACTCAGTTGGAAAGAAGACACCGAAACGAAATCATCTGACATAAAGGCGAATACACGTATAATTATACATGTTTAACGGAGCGACGGTTAGCTCTGCATCGTAGGAGTTTGTGCTTAAATAAATTTCTCATTTTTATTAGATAACCTCTCCCGTTACAGAACGTAATACGTTATGTTTTGAAATGATCAATACAAATCATTAATTTTATAACCATCTGTAATACTGAAATTAAAATCTTGTTAAAATTTAGTAGAAAGTAAAAGAAAATGCATAGAATAAAATAGAGAATATATATTTATCTTTTCTACATTGGAAATTAAGATGTATGCAAACAACGGAAATTAATTATTATAATATTAAACCAGACAAAATATTCACGGATGTTTTTTATCGAGGCAACAAAAAGTGCACGGTGTTAAATGTAATACTCATTGAATATGTAAGTTTAGTGTTGTATAATAGGATAATAGCTTTATTGATCTTAGGTTGAATTAATTTTTTGAATAATTTTTCCGATATATTCTGAAATGAGTAAAAGTTCATCAGTTTTCGTGAAAAAATGGGTGTAAGTTTTATTTTTATTCATCAATGACTATTGATGCATGTAGTCTATTTTAAACAGCACAACTTATTCGTACCTATTAGAATCTCCAAGTTGGCATATAAAAGATTCAAATAATGCAATAAATAACAGAAAAACACGGAAGAAAGAGCGCGCGAATCACGCTAATTAACACTAGTTAAAAAAAATGGCATTATTTATTATTTATGTGCATTATTTGCGGAGACATGAAAAAATTTCGTTGGGTTTCAATTTCTTCACAAAAAGTATTTGAAATGACTACTACCGATGAAGATAAGCTACTGTTGGTATTACATTACGCTCTAGAATGTTTTGTGTTTATATTATAACAACTCAAACATACCAAGCGCAACTTCTATTGAAATTAATTTAAAATTTTATCAGATTGGCATTTAAATTTTTATAAAATTTATTCATAAAATGATTGAAAATTATGTTTAATCATTTTAATAATTTGTATCAAATCCGACGTCAATCGAATAAACCACCGAAGTGATAATTTTTTTTAAGATTATTGTTTATAAATTTATTTGTATGTTGTATTTGTTTTTTTTTCAAGATTCCACAATTGTATTGAGGAAGCTTCAAACTACAGGCTGAATTTTTTTTGCGAAGTTCTATTAAAATTTCGTATTTTTTTCCTTTTGATCGCTAGTATAACAATGTCGTCGCTTACGAATTCTCTCTCTCTCCCTTTCCTAATTGATTCAGATGTAATTTGGGTGATCTGATAATGAACGTATCTAATATTTCCTATCGTCATTTTATGTTGTTTGTGTAAACTGTAGCGCGAGCGATTAATCATTATTTTCAACAATGTAGCTTTTTGCTATGTGTTGACTATGCTAAATTTCCCGCTTTCAAACTTTAACGAGCCACAAGAATAATTTTCGACGTTTTTCGAATTCTCTCATAGCATAACCTTTTGCAGTGGACTTTTATAAATGATATTTTACTCCTAGACTTAATGGGATGCAGCGAAGGACGTTTCTGCAATATTCGAAAAGAACAACTCAAGCTCTACCGGTGAGCAATTCTGTCACGCCAAGTAGAAAAATATTCGCAACGTTACTAAATATATATCTATATAAGTATATATATATATATTCAAATGAATTTTATTAACGAAAGTGTGTATGAAGATTTAGATTCAGAGAATGAAACTATTTATTCATACAGCATGTTTTCTGCATAATTTTGAGCTTCTACAAAGGTGATTTTAAGGTTAATTGTTTTTTATTTCTTTAACCAAAAGTGTATGGATGATAAGAAAAACTTTTTCCAACACTTAATCGGATGGAAAAACATGATTTTATCACAGAATTTCACTGAAGTACTTTAAATACTGATAAAATATGATTTTTAAAGTTATTAAACTCATTATAAAATGACTTGAAAGTATAACAATTAATAAGCAATTGAATATTTCATTTCATTTACCTGGTTGAACATCGTTAACGTCAATATTTGTTAGAGAAGAAGGCGTTGATAAATTTGATTCATTAATACTTTCATGACCAGTAGCATTGGATGAAGATATTCGTCTTGGACTATTTGTTCGAGTATTTAGCGCAGATGATACCGTTTTATGGCAGCCAATTGCATTTGTTACATGAAGTGGTGATGTATTCGGTGTTGATGTAACGTAATTCGTTACATTAATATATGTTCCACTGGAAGATCTTTTAGCATGATGCCTTATGCTATAAGAAAAAAGATTTAACATAAAAAAAAAAAATATATATATATATATATTGTAGTAGATTTTATTAATTTGTAGAGAAATTATTATTAGGAACTTGGACTTTTTATAATCGTCGGATTGATTGATTTCAGCTGATAAATTGTGATAGAATAAACGGAAAACGTTTTCTATTGAAAGTAGAGACATTATGACTTTAAAATACTGACTTTCATTTATGCTTAGCGAGTATATTTTGTGTATATTATTGAAATTGCACTACGATACGTAAACAGGAGTAACATTTAAGCTGATAATAAAAATACTAAATAGAAAATTAGTGTTTATCTTATGAATGCTAATATACCCATGTTCAGTACAATCTAAAAATTATTTTATCTTAAATATAATGGGTTGCATTGTGCATGAATGTTCTTAATGAAGATTAAATCCGAAAACAAAACACAGGATCGTACCATTTAAATCCTTAAGTTATCACGCTAGAAAATTGAGAAACAACAATTATCGCATGTACCAAATTAAATTATTTAATTTCCTACATGGATAGCTTGTTACCTCTGGTACCGTAACATTAACTGTTTCGAAAATTAAGTCTATTCTTGTTTGCTTCAGTCTCACATGAAAAGTGACTGATTAACAAAAATAATTGAATTAGTATAATATTTCTATCCCTGCTAAAAATTCTTATGTCAATTCATTTTTTTAATTATAGCTTTATTAACTTTTATTGTATAAGTTATTTAGCTTATTATTACAAGGGAAATAAATAAATAGATAATATAGTGTAACGAGCCGGCTCGTTACAGGGAAAAATCCGCTGAATATAGGGCCAGCGCGTGCCATGCGCGGGCCAGCTGCGCAGAAAAACCGTGCGCGAGCGGAGAGTAGAGAGAGAGGACGGTGAGGGGTGGGGGTAGTGAGGAGAGACACTCACGTGTGAACCGGCTTACCGAGCGGAAGGATACAAAGGAAAATCACTGCTCATTAGACGATAAAGGAAAAAAGTGGAATCGAAGAGCAATACCGAAGCAAGTACGCCAAGAGTGAGTGTCGTCGCCCAGGTGATACCGGATTTGAAGAGTGTCGAGAGGACCAAGAGGAGGAAACGCCTCCCGGGCAACGAGAACCATCACGTGAGCTCGGAAACTGAAGAATCGGCAGCTAAATTTTCCGTGGAATTACAGCGAAGAGAAGTGAGTAACTTCTCCGATACGTAATTAACTGCGAAAAGATCACGTTAAATTAGGAGCGCGAGAGTAAATTCGTATATCTCTCACTCTCTCTCTCACGGCGAGACATCGCGCATTATAAATGCGCGACTTAGCAGTGTGTCATTCGGAAAAGCTCTCGGCCTTTTTCTTCATGAAACGTGTATCAAATGTCAAGTGAATAAAGGGTGTATGTAATTGATCGGCCGCTTTGCTTATTGACGTGGGCAGAAGCGCACGTACCTCCTCTGCCCAGATACCCGAACCCACCGACTTCCCCGCGTGAGCAGTACGCCGAGCCCGCATTCGACGAAGCAGCCGGTACAACAGCCGGGAGGTAAGTCCTCCTTCGACGAAGCGGCGGTTAGCTTCGCAACGTGGAAGCGACGGTGACTGATTTTTGTTAACGGATATCGATTTATTCTCTCGGATAAATCACAACCGTTACAGCGGCGCCCAACTTAAAGTGACTGGGCACAGGAGTACAAGGCCTCCTACGAGAGCGTCAAGGGCACGCGTGTCTTCTAGCTGTGTTTTGATTCTGAGAGAGAGAGCCGCGGCGACCGATACGTGTACACGTGAGTGCGAGTGGTAAACACCGCGAGGTAGGCGAAGCGTTGTTCGTTGCGCCTACTCTGGCCTAGGCATTTTGAATTTTGTAAAACTCTTGTAAGGCCGAGAGTAATACTAACAACGTGATAGCCAAGGCCAGAGACGAACAGCAGTCGGTGAGACAAAAGCCGCGCGCGACAGGCGAAACGTAAATACTGCCGCGCGCACAAATAGTCAACAAGTGCCCATTTACAGATTTGACTTTAAGAAGTACAGGGCTACTTACGTTTTTTTTTCAGGCTACATTAAGAAAACAAATTAAAAAGTAATATCTTTTTTTTCTATAAATTTTGTTTTGATTGCATATAGCAAATCTCTATATTTTGTTTTCTTTCTTTCGTCTCCAAAACGCCTGAATTAAACCGACTGCTAAGAAGCGACGAACAATAGCGAAGAGGGCGCGCCCAACAAAAATTAACACAGCTTTGCTAACAAACAGTTAGCAAAGCTGATAGGTAGGATTACTGTTTTTGCGTAGTAAGGGCGCGCCAAAACAACCTCGCGGGATAGAGCCAACAATTTCGTACGTCTAGATAAAATCAAAATAAAACCGGTGGCAATAAGACCGTTTGTTTTTTTTTAAGTAGATTTTTCAAAAAAATACAAACACTCGTACTCACGCTCTTGGGGACTAGCCACTGTTTAAACAAAACGAGCGTGCGTAAACAATGGCTAAGTCAACAAATCAAACGCTGTTATTCGACTTGGACACCACGGAGGACGAAATACAAACATGGGTAAGCGAGTTCGATGACAAACGTCTAAAAGAGACGCTATCCGAACTAGAGCTGCGAAGCGACGGCGACAGAGCCGCGCAAGCTAACAGATTGCAGAAGTGGCTACTCGGCAATTACTCCGAGGCAGATTTCGACCAGACAAGGGCAGTTGACAAGACAACAGACCCAATTAGAAGAACAGATCTGCGCCAGTCATTTATATCCGAAGAATGCAAAACTCTTGAAGATGCAGCGGACCTGGACAGCCATCCGCTATACAGACTGCTGACGGACGATGAAATCAAGACAAAAATGAACTTGACAGTCGGCAAGACCCTATCAAAGGAAGCAGAGAAGAACTCTAAGGATGATGGTAAAACGATCCATCAAGACTCTATGGAAGACATAGAGGAGGAGATGCCCACGTTAAAGGATGCAAAGGGCAACCCAATAACAGTGCCACCAGAGATAGCCAAGGTAATGACGGAATGGATAAAACGCCTCACGAAGATCGAAAGGGCAATGACGAGAGAAAGAGAGTACGTCCTGTCAATTGCGCAAATGGCACAAACAATTTGCGCAACACAGGCAACAGAAACCTCTCGTCTATCCAAAGCACTAGACCGCATAGGAGTACTAGAAAATGAGATGTACGAATTACAAGAGAGCAACACGTGCACAACAGAAACCAAAGAAGAAAAACAGCCAAGCAAATCAGTGAATTTTCAAGACACACTGACGTTCCACTACGACACGGTGGTACCAGGCAGCACGCCAAAAAGGCCACAGCCGCCCGTAGGGGCCCGGTGGTCTGCAGACGACCCCCCCGCACAGCCCTTAGGAGAGGGCAGACAGCAGAATTTCACAGCGAATTCTTCTGTAGGCGCCTACTCAAGACCAACAAGTTATTCAACGCAGAATTACCCATCAGGGCTGTCGACCACCAGAGATATCGGCAAGATCGTCAGAGACTGGCGCGTGAAGTTCTCCGGCGGAGAAGAGCAAAGCGTCGACTTATTCTTGGAGAAGCTAGAGGCACAAAGAATAGCGGCTGAGCTATCCGAGGAAGAGATGTTGTTGGGGCTACCAGACGTGTTAACTGGAGTAGCCCATACATGGTACATCAACAACTACAAGGATTGGATCGGTTACCAGGAGTTCGTACAGGATGCGAGAGAATGGTTCGGCACGAGCATCCAGCAATAACAGAGGCTGAAGAGGGAGGCTCAAGTCAGATACCAAGGCGAACAGGAGTCGGTGAAGGTTTACCTGACCAAGCTACAGGCCATGGTAAACAAGATACAGCCTCCGATGCCTAGTATAGAAGTGCTGGAGCTGATGTACTCGAACCTGCTTCCTGAAATAAAGACGAACGTCAAGCGAAGAGACGCGACGTCGGTAAGAGAGCTGTGTCGGCTGGCAACAGAGGCACAAAATGACATTGCCCAAGCACGACAAAGGAGAATATTGCTAGAGCCGAAGGCGGCGCTATTCCCAGAGTGGGCATATCAACCCGCACAAGCTGGGACGGCGGCAAGTGTCCGCAAGCCTAGGGTATCGGCGATAGCAGCCGACGATGATGAAGTCGAGGAAGATGACGCAGAGATCGAAATCGCGGCGCTGAACTGGGCTTCAGCGTCCGATACTGCCCCGACTGCAAAGGAGCAACGTCATCGGGAAACGACAAAGGAAGCAACTAGACGGGGTCATAGTTGCTTCGAGTAGTAAAGATATCCCTTACTCTAGGCGGCAGCGCGACGAGATTCCGCGCGAGTCGCCCCCGATATCGACTAGCTCCGCCACAAATGAAAGGGAGCCTACAGAGAAAGTATCAAGAGTGAGAGGCAATGGTGATAATGAGATCCAGCCATTACGAATAGAGGAACATGCGACCGAGAGTCAAGATACCAACCCGTCAAGCGGGATCGAAGGAGCTACTTCCTCCCCCAGGACCCGACGTGCGATGCAGGAAGATCCTCAGGACACGGCGAGGAAGTGCAGCCGAAGATCGTCGGACGACACAGAGGCGTTGACTAGCGAGGTGTTGGCCAACACTAGTCCAGACGACGACGAAGGGCAGACTTTCGCAGCCATAGGATCGACCGACGGGAAGCACAAAGGCAGTCAGCGAGGAAGAGCTTATGCACCCGAAGATGAGACGAGATGGTACGTGCCCATTGATATTGCAGATTACCGAATCAGAGCTTTGTACGATTCAGGTGCATCTTGTACAACAATGGGCACGTTAGGGATCATGATTGCTGCTCAACTGGGGTTAGAGCTACAGGCGCGCAACGCAGGTACTTGCCGCCTGCCGGATGGCTCAACCGTGGCAGTATTAGGTCATGTTCACATGCCCTGGACCGTAGGTGGAGTAACAAGGGACATCAGAGTGGCTATAATCCCAGATCTGAAGGACGAATGCTACGTCGGTGTCAACTTCATCAAGGCATTTAAGATAATGG